GCTGCGGGTCGGGAGTGAGGGGCACTGGCAGAGCTGGGGGGGGGGCAGGGCTGGGCTGGCAGGGGTCGCGTGTTGGGAGTGAGGGGAACCGGCAGAGCTGGGGGGGGGGGTGAGTTCCCATCTCTAATGCTCTCTCTGTCCCACACAGAAAGCCCCCCCAGAAGAGAAAGCCGCTGTGGGGCCGTGGCTGCTGGCCCTCTTCGTGTTTGTGGTCTGTGGCTCAGGTGAGTCGGGCGGGATGGTCTGTTCACTCTGGATCCTGATGATGGGGGCTAGGGACAGAGATCTGCCTATTAGGGGCCTGTTCTTGGGAAGGATTTAGAGTGTTAACCCTGAAGCCTAATGGTGGCAGAGCTGCAGGGGGGTGTTTATGCTGCTTCATCATTACAGCATCCTGGTCCGTTGGACGGCGTTTACCCTGAGACCTAACAGTGGGAATCCAAGAGGGTCAGACTCTGGGCTGTTTGCCCCAGGACATAATGATTGGGACTAGAGGCAGGAGTGCCCCCCACCCGAGAACCTAAGAATGAAGGCAATGGTGGTGTTAACTCTTGAACCTAGTAATGGGGATCCTGATGCACCACAGGTGTCGTGTTAGTCCCGAAATTTCCTGTTGGGAGCTAGAGACAGGCAGATGCTTCATGCCAGTGTGTTGACTCTGAAACCTACTAATGGGACCAGCCCTGAATTAAGGCTTCGTCTCCTTGAGGTTCCTTTGGATCTTGCCTGCCCGTCCCTGCAGTAGGTGCACAACCCAACTGGCCTTTGGAGGGGGCGGAGCCTGAGAATAAGCCCCTCCCATTACCCCAAGCTGTGCCCCTGAGAGCCCCCCCCACCACACCAGCCTCACTCTGCCCCCTTCTCCCCAGCTATCTTCCAGATAATCCAGAGCATCCGCCTCGGAGGATGATGGGAAACGCCGCTCTCCCTCCCACACCTCTTCTCAGGGAATTCTGGGATACCTCCTGGACCTCCAGTGACCCTCTGTGATGTGCTGCTGCGCCCCCTCCTCCGCCTGCCAACGCTGTCCCCCTTCTTTTTGCCTCCTTGTATGTTTCCAGCCCCGGGGGGGAAGAGAACGGCTCCCCTTTCTTCCTCCCCCCTGGTAAGGTGGGGGTGTCCCCCAGAGGTGCTGTGAAGGCAGCCTGGGGTTTGGTCACAGTGTGTGGGGGAGGATTTTCCCTTAAAATCTGTGATTTCCACCCCCAGGTTTCGCAATGTCTGACTGTTTACTGGAAATACATTAAATGTTGGGATTTTTAATAAAACAGCCGCCTGGGTGCTTTGTCCCCCTCCCGCTCGGGGCCAGGAAGACAGGGCTGTGAGAGGCCACTGAGCACAAGCAGAGAACCCAGGAGTCCTGCCTCCCTGCCCCCCTGCTCCAACCCCCCAGCCCCCACTCCCCTCCCAGAGCCGGGG